CAAACTTCAAAAAGTGCATCAGAGATGTTTTTATCTTTTCTGAACCCAAATTGTGAATTAGATAGTATATTGTTACTTTGAAGGTACTCCGCTAGCTGTTCCTTAACAATATGCTCCAAACCCTTGGAAAATAACGCTTAACAATGAGATTGGCCTAAAATTGTTATTATCTTTTGGATCACCTGACTTGAATAAAGGAATAACTTTTGCTGTTTTAAATTGAGCCGGGAATATACCAGTCAGTAGAGATAAATTGATTAGGTGTAGCAGCGGAATGTAAATTATGAGTGCGTTTTGTTTGAGTAAATCAGCCGAGACCTTGTCCAGACCGGGAGCTGAGCCACCACGCAGCCCAGAGATATGACGTAGTACGTCTTGTGCAGAAACAGTTTTCAATGTAAAAGTAGAGTCCAGTCTGTAGTCAGAGTCAACAACCACCGGGGTCCCGCCCGCATCTATCTGATTTGATAAATTTTCTCTAACAGAAGCAAAGAAGTTGTTAAAATCATTTGCAATCACATGTTTTGTGGCTTGCGTATGATCAGACATGTTAGGAATGAACTTTTCAATTTTGGAAATGAGTTTTTATTACATGATCTGCCAGCAAGATCATTGATCAGTCCCCAAAATAATTTGGGATTTTGACTGTACTGGTTGAGTCTTTCCCTGTAAAAATCTCTTTTTAACCGACTTCCCCACTACCAACAAAAGGAGGAGGTTCTCAATTTGTTTGTGGCGATGTTTTTTTTTTTCTATGTATGTTCACCAATTTCTCTGTGATTCTTTTACTGATCAGTGTGGTTCCACCACCAAAATAACCAGGAGAGTTTCTATTTGGTACCTTATATATTATATTTAAGTATAATATTTGTTTAAGTGAAAAATTCTGAAAACCTTAAATATTCAACATTTGCTTTGTTTACATTTGTGCAGATTGTTTACATTTGTGAAGAGAAGGCAATAAATAATATAAAGATTCCTACAGCTGTTAGTTGAAACCATTTAAATGAAGCTACAGACAATTCTTCATGAAACAGTTGCTTCATATTGATCAATAAACTATTTCTTGCCATGGAGCCTAAATGAATTACATTAAGAAAAATGCATTTTGTTTTGGTTACTATAAAAAATGTATTTTAACGTTTGACCTGATTTGTGTATACAGTAATTCTGTTTTTAGTATTGAATATTCTGACTTACAAAAACATATATGTTTCAGTGAATAGCTGTATGATATTGACAAATAAAGGTGTATTGTGAAAACCAAAGCATTTGTAAAACAGGTCTAAATATAAATCAAATGCAATTATTCCTTACACAACCTAAGAAGTGTGACAGTGCATAATCGTCAATTGTCTTAAAAGTGTTAGATATTTTAATTACTAAACATGCATTTGTAGATGTGGAATGTTTATTGATATTCTCTACCCAGTTACCATATCATATCAATACTATTATGCCTGCTTCGGAAAGTCCTAGAGGAAGATGATTTGCAATTTCGACTAGGCTATATCTTGGTCAAACAAAACCACCTACATGGCTTGCACCACTTTTAGCTGAACCAATCTTTCATATACATATTTCATTTGCAGATGTGGAATGTTTATTAATATTCTCTACCCAGTTACTATAACATATCAATACTATTATGCCTGCTTCGGAAAGTCCTAGAGGAAGATGATTTGCAATTTCGACTAGGCTATATCTTGATCAAACAAAACCACCTACATGGCTTGCACCACTTTTAGCTGAACCAATCTTTCATATAATATTTTCCAAAGGTACTATACGAAAGGTACTATGGTGTTAACGACCAATTTTCCACTTTTGAGAGATTTTTTAGTGCTAGTAGCTGAGGAATAACTTTCATATGGTTCCAAAAGGCTTGAGACGTTACTGTATTTCTTTTTATAATGTAGAAGTACACCGATTGCAGGAAACGATGATGTCTGACATTTCAATGTATCTAGAAAAGACAATTAGTTTTTCATTAGGCCTAATGTAATGGACAACTCTTTCTTTCTTATCTAAAGATGTTTATTTTCATACCCATTGATTATGTAACCTGAACAGGTGACTCAAGCAGTTTTAAAATAATGATTGTTCTGTGGAACTTTTCATTGTTTCAAACAGTTTTGCTTATAAAAAATCCTCAAGTAATTAATATATAAAAAATTATACAGTCACTAAAAATCATGAAATAATTTATTTTTGTAAAAAAAATACAACCGACTTCAAACGCTCTAAAAAGGATGAAATAATTTCAATAAAGTAAACTTTTTTATTAGGCAAGCTCACGTATTTCAAGTCGGCGTGGCTCAAACTGCAAATATGATTGAAATCAAATATTGTGTGTGTATTTTGAAAATAAATAAATTTTAGCTGGATAACATAAATAGATAAAGAACACTGAACTGTTTTGTTTATATATTAAAGAAAATATTTTCTTGTATTTTTTGTTTACTTCAGAATAAATTCATTATGAAAATAACACACACAAATGTTCTATATGAATAGGAAAATAATTTAGTTTGATATTATGATAGGGAAAGAAGCTAGTTTAGTATTAAAACGTTACTTTTCAATGTTAGAAACATTTAAATGCGTTATAATATTTTTAAAGATACTCGTTAATACCACTATAATGCCGATCTCTGATTACGGTAATAAAATAACACTTAACGCATAACTATGAAAAATACATGCAGATTAACACCTTTAGTTATAGATAGTCACCTGCAATATGGACACCCTCTTTCAATTTTGTATCAAAACTCATCATAGAGCCGCGCCGACTTAAAATACGTGAGCTTGCCTAATACAAAAGTTTACTTTATTGAAATTATTTCATCCTTTTTAGAGCGTTTGAAGTCGGTTGTATTTTTTTTACAAAAATAAATTATGGCTCTCTTTAATAGACTGCTCAGGTTTTGTCTGTAATTCCGGTAATAAATTTGTAGATTGTCATTAAATGGTTGACGGAGTGCAGCTTTACTTAATTTGTCTCTAGTACGTATTGATTTGACCAAACTGTCTGTAATCCACGGTTTAATTCTCTTACGTCTAGACAATCTTGTAGTTATTGGTTTTTTTGAATTTTTTATAGAAAATTCAAGGTTTTTGTAAAAGAGTTCGGAGCACAGATTGACATCTAGACAGTTTAGGACAGGTCCCCAGTCGGTCTGAGAGAGATTTTGAGTGAGAAGGGTGTGATCAAGGTAAGTTTGAGAAGGTCCGGTTGCAGTGAGTGTGTCTGCGTGAGTGTATGCAGTGTCGTGTATAGTGAGGGCGGTGGCATAGTGTCAGTGAGGCTAGTGTGCAGTACAGCAGCGCGCACAGCAGTCATGTCACAGTAACGTACAAATATGTGATCAATGCAGGAGGCAGTGTCCTGTGTAACTCTAGTCGGTCTGTCCACACACTGTACAAGGCCGGAGCCAAGTAAACTGTTTAAGTAGAGGTCAATTAGTATATCCTTGTTAAAAAGGTTTATTCATGTCACCCATAAAAATGCACATTTTGTTTCTATCTATGTTCTGATAGTAAGTCTCAAGTTCACTAGTGAATTGTACTGGATTGCTGTCGAATGTTCTGTAAAGTGCAAGTAAATTGAAGTTCTTGTTACAGTACACAAAGTCCAGTGATAACCCCTGAACGTCCCCCAGGGTGATTTGTCGTGTTGTATACCATCATTGCGGTTACGTTGAGTGGTAGTCATGTGAGTGTCAAACCCGTCGATGTTCGCCCCCACCTCTCCCCTGCCAAGCCAGCACTCAGAAAAAATTATAACGTCTAGACTGGTATTAAAGGAATCTAAGTTAACTAAAAACTCATCAAATTTTTTGGAAAAGCTTCTAATGTTATTGTGAAATATTTTCAGGCTCTTTAAATGAGAATTAAAAAAGTTAATGTATTGATCTGTGGAATGTAGCTCAAGACAATGGAAGTCGCCGTCGCCGTCATCATCACAGTTATTAAAAAATTGCATCGGCCAAGCCCCAGTCACCTGCCCAGTCAACCGTTGAGCCAACTATAACACTATACCAACTAAAAACTAGCATGAGAACTAAAATATTAAGTTGCTGTTTCAAAATAAAGTAGCCTTGTTAAAAACAAAAACCTTCACTGTAATAAAATTGTACAAGTACAATGATAGATAACTTCAAAATTGAAAATGTAGGAGAAAAAATTGATTAAAAGGAGCAAAATTTATTTCATATGGTTTAAGGGGGTGTGACTTGTAGTTTTCTTAAAAGTTCATGGGTACTTTGGGATTTGTAAATGGATTATTAAACTTTAGTTCCTACCTAAAGTAACTATTTTATATTCGGCCTTTATTTATTTATGTAAGCCACATTTAAAATATTAGCCCTTGTTTCTCACTTTCTCAAATTCGTAGAAGTATTTAATATTTTTATAGATTTTTAGTAAAAACAAACTCATGATAAACTGATATTTTAATGTTTAAATGTTATATTGCCATCTTAATGTTAAATAAATTGTAGCTTTTAAAACATTGCGACCATTAACGCACATTGTAGACCTACTTTTTAAACTCATCAGACATATTTCATAAACAGTTGGAAATATAACAGAAATATATTCAGAGTGAAATATAGCGGATGGTACAAACATAAGTCCCATAGACGTGAGGTTTGTGGGCCAGGCCGCTGGCTGGTCGGTGAACGCTGCGGTGCAATGCTACTGCTATCATACTCTGTGGGAAACGGGGAATTTCCGGTACCTGCACTGCACGAATTGGCAACACGGCGGGCCTCAAACGCCAAAACAGCGACTGCTCGTACTCAAACCAGGCTCTCGCGACTTCCCTATCTTGTGGGGTATCTGTGTCTATACTCCTTTTATCTATGATTTGACACATATAGTTGTATAATGAACTTGAGCCTTCTGTTGATACCTAAACATAGTAAAAGATGTTTTATACATTGATTCAATTTGTAAATATCATTAGTAGAATTAAAACTTTGATGATGACTTACCGATAAATGATTCCTTGAGTGTGTAAGTGTTCTAACGCCAATATTATTTCTGATAAGTAGAAGCTGGAAAAAAAAACAGTTGTTAATTAGAAACTTAAAGTGTCAAAAGAATGAAAGATCTAGGAATGTAATTAAAAAGTATAGACACTAAACTTAAACTAACTTATGATCATTGAATTACCAACTAAATAACAGCATATTAACATTAACCTACATGTAATGGTCAAGCCTGCTGAAAAACAATCTAAAATAACAAAATAACTGAAATTTTGGCCTGGCCCATATGTTGTATATTTTTGTAGAAATTATAATACGAGGGCTATTCAGAAAGTAAGGAACGTTTCTTTCTGATGCTGCTAAGCGCGCGCCGTTCTCGTACATTTTGGTGCGTGTGCACTTGTTAACTCGGTCGGCGCCCAGCCATGACAACAGGAACATCTTCGTGCGGCCTGTTTTTTTGTTGCAATTTTAACTGAAGATGTGCGCTGCGATTGAAAATCCCACCAGTTGTGAGGTGCAGTCAGTGATACGGTTTTTGTTGACAAAAAACTTAAAACCGATAGACATTTATCGCCAAGTGTGTGAAGTTTACAGAAACAACGTAATGAATGAAAGTTCTGTGTGAAAATGGTACATTCAGTTTTAAAATGGCCGAACTGACGAAGCGAAGAGCGGACCCCCGCAGGGCTAGAGATATACAAGGGCTAGGCCACGCGAGCTCAGAAAGTGATGCCAGGTGGCTCCCCACCACTCCGCCGCTGTGACGTCACGGCGATACCTCGGGCTCCCGGCACCGTATATCTTTGCCTGTGTGAGCTCTGGTATTACCACACATTTGGCGTTTATTAAGCTCTATGTTGGACATTTTTTATTAGGTATTAATGTATTTTATAAAAGTAATTGACTTTCAAATAGGATTACGTATAATATCAATTTTAATAAGTAAAAAATTAACTTTAGTAGATATTTAAGGATGGGAGTGGAATGTAAAGCGATGGCTAAGATTACTGTAGTTATTGATCCAATGCATTAAAGTTACTGTGTAATATCTGTGTTCGTATTGCTCGAATGTATCTTAATGTATGGATTATTAATTGTATTTATTTATTACTTATTCATACCTTTTAGGATTCATTGAGGTTATATAAAATACATTGAGGTTGTATAAAAATACATTACCTATACTTAGTATTTTGTAACTTTTACATTAAGGAAAATAATTTCAATTAATCAATTACATTTTATTATAGGCCCTACATATTTCAATACATTAAAATAAAAATAGCATATAGTTGCAAAAATACATTAAGTTGCCTGACTAACTAACCTCAATCTCTGTTGACCAATAACTAAAAAGTCGAGTTTTGGTGTGATTTTACTTTATCAGTTTACATCGTGATTATACGTTGTAAATGTTTAGTTACGATATTATTTATTGTGCCTCGAGTGTAATGTGACATTGCTTTTAGAAACTTGAGACACTATTTTTTAGCCAGTTTTTGTGAACTTCATTGACTGTTTACCAACAACGAATATCGCGGGTTTGACTTTATCACTTTAATAGTATTTATTAGTTGTAAAAATTGTACTTATTTAGTTTATAAACTGTTTTATGTGGATATACTTACTTAATTTGAGGTCTGGGACATTACATTTAGCCCGTTTTTGAAACATTTCGTCATAATTAACAAACGATTTAATCGCCAAATAAAAAAGGCACAGCAGCATTTTATAGAAAAAAACTATAAAATATTTATTTTTGTATATTTGCCTTTATAACTATGTATATTCAAGTAGGGGAATAAGTTTACTTTCATTTTATATAGTTGGTTTGGGGTTTTAAAATAATATATACGTGTGAAAAACAAAATGTTTTTCTAGACAAATATAAACATTTATTAAAAGTCATAAACATCTATTGAAATGATCAGTAGGCCTATACATAAACAATTCTTACTTCATTTGATCTCCAATATTATTGCCTAAAAATGTTTACTTTTACTTTATCTCTTGATTATACATTTATTTGGTTTTTATTTGAAATTTGTTGTGCAAAATCGTGAAACTTGTCATTTTATTGTTTTTGGGTCATAACTTTGTATAAATGGTAATTGGAATCTTTTTACATTTCCATGAAGGGAAATAAATTCCAAACAATTTGTATATCTTATGAAACATTTTTGGTTCATGCAGCAATTTTTCTACCTACTGACAATATTTCCTACAATATTTTTAATATTTATTTCGTTGCCATTTTCAAATTCTTCATTTCATTACGAACACTTCAAGTTGGAAATAATAAATACGGTTCATAGGTTTGATCTGTTGGTTTAGTTTATATGAATTTTCGAAAATATGACTGCAAAATCGCCAAAAATGCCTTGTCACTACAGAGTTTGCCCATTGCAAGTTGGAGTGTTAACGAAACCCGCTTTAAAAATCACACTATAAAACTACATTATTATAAACACATTTATTAATATGCGCGTGGATGCTGGGCGACATATGCACTGCCGTGCTAGGCTACCGTCGCGCCTCGCGCCGATGTATCTCCGCTACGTCACTGAGGAGGGGCAGGGGAGGGGAAGTAGGATCAGGCGGCGACCGCTAACATCAAAGGAGTGAGCCAGCCCTTGTATATCTCTAGCCCTGGGACCCCCGAGCATTGTGACTGATGAACTGGTCTCTAAAGTTGATGAAAATGTTCGCAACTGCCGATTCACGATAACGGAGCTTTGGCCTTGTTGTGTGACGATTTCAAATAACAAAGTCCGTGAAACTTGTGGGAAACAAAGCAAAAGTTCCGTTATAATGAATTTGAAGTTTTTGTAACCTTTTCATCAACTTCTTTTACGACTCTGTAGGGATTTGTTATATTATATTTTGTTCATTTAATCGCTGAACATTAATTTACTTTACAATAGCCCTTCTCAAACTTCAGTTTTATCGCTTTGGTTAGGATAGAATACTCATGTGTCCTACTCCTACACAGTCGGTCTAAAAGTTAGGCAAAATTTTCAAAACCACTTTAAAGAAGGTGAGAATGATATAGCTCCCCCTGAGCGTCTGCAGGACTTACTGAGCGCTTCTAGAGCTCTAAGCCTTTGATTAAATTTAATAAATTTAGTCTGTGCAAAAAAAAAAAAAAAACTGTTAACAGCTTCATATTGACCCCTTGATATTCTCGGCTCCATCTGTGCACTCCGGGGAAAAAAATTGAGTGTGGCTGATTCTAAGGGCAGGCCTAGCCTGTCTTTGTGAATACTTTGTGTTTATTCACCCCCTAGAATTTTACGTCACAAACAATCATATTCCTTGCAATGTGCACCTACTTAAGGTTTTTACCATCAGTTCTTACTGGAATGAATTCCTCCTTTTTAATTTTTAAAACTGTTTTTCTACATGGTTTTTAATGCTATTTTACTTTTAAAGTTGTAATTCTCATATTTATATTGTTTCTAAACAAAATTTTTTTATTCAACAAATGCAATCAAATCCATTTTAGCAAATTTCCCTATAAGGAAAGAAGCTATCACAGTCTGTTCTTGGTAATTCAAACATTTGATGGATCAAAACTTAAGCTCAGCCCGTAGAGAATCTCTTGATATTTAAGGGTTAGAACATACATTTTGATACAATCGCTATTTCAGAGTTAAGCAGGAGGCCTGATTTGGAACACACAGTAATTCAAAGTTTCATTTGCAGAAATCTCTATAATTTGAAGGGACAGGACTTTACATTCCACATCGATAAAACACAGTTTAGCTTTGGTGTTGGGTTGAGCAGTAAACGTCTGGTTGGCAGAGTTTGTTGTGTGGAACCATGACTGCCTTAACATAAATAAAAGTCTCTTTTGATTGTGGAAAAAAGAAGTGATCGCAACAATAGAAAATGGTAGAATAACATTTCAAATCCATTAGAGTATGTTTTCTATGATTTAAAAATATAAGAACTGAATTGATGGGACAAATGCATCTTTGGGAAGAAAAACAACCATGTAAGGGTAATATCCTAGACTAGAAGAGTGTTTATTTTCAGTTCATATCGGATACTTATCTTCATTTGTTAAACGTGAAACTTAAATTTTTTCTGCCTAACACTATGTCAAAGTTGGAGCTGCTTGACCGCATCATACAAAATTATAAAAGAAACCATACATATACATATTACTAAAATTAACTCTTTGTAATTCGAATGGTTAATTTAAATTTATCTGATTGACCAACCAATTTGAATAATTGGTGGCACGGAAAGATTTTTTTAAGGAGATTTAAGGGAAACATTGTGGGGTTTTGACGTTTTTCAAAAACTTTTTTTTCAAATGTCTACTCATAAAACATGGTAATGCCCATTTTTCATTACAGCCATTTTGTGGAGCTTTAGAAACAAACAATTTTGTATATTAAGTCATTGTTGTACTAAAAGATTATTTACAAAGTTTACGGAGAAAAAAAAAACCTGTAGCCTACATTTAAAATTCCCAAGTTAAAAAAAGAAAACTGTTATTTTACTAATTGTTTATGGATATATTTTGTTAAAATTTGTCAAATTTATTTACTTCATCCTATACTGTTGACGTTTTACCAAATACACCTTTTCCTTTACTGTAGCAACAAACCTAAGTACTTAATAAATCTTATGTTATTTAAATGGGGAATTTAACTTGTATATGGAAATATTCCAGTTGAAATTAAATCAGACAAATTGAAATTTGCTTAGTCTATAGGTTTGCTGCAACAGGGGTAACTTATACACAATAAAGAATATTCCAGTGTTCTCTACAGAGGGCATGCCTGTAAATTACCCTTTGAACATGTGACAAAAGTAAGACAATCAGTATACTCGGGACAAATTAGTTGGATTGCACTCACCATGCAGTGTCCTCAAGAAAGATTCCTTCCCTCTCTAGATGCATGAACAACTCACCCCCACTGAGGTATTCAAGTATGAGGTAAAGTTTGCCACCCGTTTGAAAAGCATACATCAGGTCCACAATAAACGGGTGCTGAAAAAATATTTAAAATTAGGATGGAGTATAGGTTTGAAATTCATTGTAGCCCCTAAACTGGACTTTTTATGCTAATATAGTCTAGTTGCCAACGTGTGGTAATATACAACAAAATTACCACGCAAGTAGGTCCTAAACTGTAATTAAGGTAATCATCATGCTTCAGTCAGAGAGAATAAAATAATGTAAATTCCTCATAGAAATACCCCTTAAATGCATAAGTAAAGGGCTTTGTGTAGCCAGGTTTGAAGTGCCCTGGATATGAAATTACTTAAGTGCCCCCCCCCCCCCCCCCAACGAGTTATTGATGATCAGCAGTTAAAACACAACTAATTTCAAACTGAATCATAATTAAATTAATTTCAATTCCTAAACAAAATTCAGTCAAATTACATAGTAGGTAGGCCTAATATCAGGGCCCCTTTAATGAATGGGCCCGCAAGACATTTGTTTTAGGATTGTTGGGTGCAAATGGAAGAGAAAGATTCCCTCAGAAGGTAGATGGAAAGATACGCAATCATCTCTCGGGCCCATTGCACATCACATGCAAACCCCGGATCTGGGACTGATATATGACATACTATGGTGTCTCTAAATACTATAGATGTGCAACTGACTCAGGTATACAAATGTTTGAGCACTTCTAGAGGTGCTAGGGAGTTGAAATTTGGCACGCTTGTAGGTCTAGGGCCCAAACCCCCAGGATAATTATGAAAAGTGACATTTTAAAATTTTAACCCCCCGAAATCTCGAATTTCCCCCCCATGTTATTCTTATGGGGAATAACATTAAAAGTGGCCAACTTTGGTGTGCTCATCTGAAGGTTTAGAAACGTGCTAGAGACTTTAAATTTGGTAGTTAAGTTAGGAAAGTTTGGTAGGAAAGTTTCTGACTTTGGATTGAACATCAGAACCATTTAAAAACAAGCTAGAGACTTAAAGTTTGTCTTAGTCCCAAACAGCCAAGGAAAAGAGTTAGCAAAATTTTTAAGAAATTTTCAGAATCAGAAATTAAATTTGATACAAAACACTCTTAGGCGTTTCCAAAAATTGCCCCCTTCACCCCCCAAAACGCTAAATAGTTCTAACTTCTGCAAATTGTTTATATTTGGGACACGTTTTTAATTATTTATATTTTTTCGGACATGTAAGTTATATGTACTTTTAACGCTCCAACCCTGATGGAAAACTCACGAAAGCGACATTTTAAAATTTCCACCCCCTCAAAACATTTGGAATGGTGGATTTACAAAATATTTCAAATGGCTACTACCTGTGCAATGGTCTACTGTCAATCATTCACAGACTTGTTAGGTACTTAAAGGCGAGTCATCTTTTTACAGACAGACTCAACAATTTGATTCAGAATCTTCAGAGATTTTTGAAATCTATATTAAAAATTATCAGTTTTTCTTTTCCGAGTCGGTTTGGCTCTTCTACCCCACCGATTTTCACAATTTTGGTATTAAATTAAAGGTATGCACGCACAGATTTGCCATCAAGCATCATCGTTCATTTATCTACTGTATTACTCGACCAACAAACATAATTTTTTTTTTATTCTTAAAGACTTTTTTAGTCTGTACGAAAAGTCACCCTACTATATCAGTCTGAGGCTTTACAATAGTCTACCAAATAGATTCAAAAATATTAGCTGCATAACTAAATTCAAAAATGACCTTGTCGCGATTGTGACAGGAATTATACAGGGTGACCATTAAGTCTTAGGACGACTTTATAACTTTTAAACGACAAACGATATCACAACCACATTTGGTATACCGTTTGGGGGACGGCCCGTTGGGGGTCAGAAGAAAATCTTTAATGACAGCCTATGTTGAGTTTTAACTGTATTGTTGTCACTATTTTATTAATTAGGCTAATTTTGAATAATAAGACAATAAAAAATATATAACAAAGAAAAGTCCAGGCACTTGTAGAAAACATTAAATTAAACTTTGTTTTTGTTGTAAATTTCCAAGTTTTCTTATAAATTGTAATGTTCTGATAGCATTGTTTAGAAGCAAGATCTCCTAAAATTGAAAGACATCTAGTTTACCATGTAATTTTGAATTTAACCTTGAATTAGTTTGATAAGGTTATTATAATATAGCCATTTTAGGAAAAATAGTTTTTTGCAGCAAAGCCTCAGTAACACAATTTATGATCACAGTTGTGGGAGTCGCTACAATTGCGGGATTTTCTCGGCCAACTACTGGTTTTTGACATCCTAGGCGTTAACATTTAGGCATGAGCCATCCCTTTAGCATAAGATATTTTTACAATTTTTCATCACTTTTGAAAGCACATTATTTGTATTTTTAAAACACATCTTATGTCAAACAAGAAGTTTGTATATATATATATTTTTGAACGTTGTGAGCTCGGACACAGTTGGACCGATTGCCACGAAACTTGGTACATACGTGTAGAATTTCATGGAATAGGTTTATACACCATCGATTTCATGATCCGTCCAATCGGCTCCGCCCCAGTGGCTGTGGAGTTTCCCCATGTTAACCTTATGTAAGTACTTATATTTAAATGGAATTAAAGAATTTTAACAGCTGTTTCAACTAAAAAATTTGATTCTGTGATGTTCAATAGCATTAAGAAGTTAATAGGTTTACCAACAGGGTGCAGCACTATTATTTTGTTTAAACTTTTTATTAGCTCGCTTTCTTGTCCGGTACAAATTTTGCAATCAATTTTATACTAAGTTCCCGATGAGCTATAGACTTGAAACTTGAAACATAGCTCACAAATGGATGACAATGCAATATTATATCATTTAATTTTCATATTTCCCTTGGGTTACGCCCCATGGGCTTGTTTTTATTAACTCGCTTTCTTGCAAATTTTGACACTTCCCGATTAGCTAGAGGCTTGAAACTTGAAACCTATTTCACAAATGGATGACAATGCAATATTATATAATTTAATTTTCATATTTCCCTTGGGCTACGCCCCATGGGTTTGTTTTTATTAGCTCGCTAGTCGCTTTCCTACAAATTTTGATATCAATTTTAAATGAAGTTCCCGATGAGCTAGAGACTTGAAATTTGAAACATAGCTCACAAATGGATGACAATGCAATATTATATCATTTAAATTTTCATATTTCCCTTGGGCTACGTCCCATGGGCTTCCAAATTTTCCATGTTTACATTTTGAAAGAATGTAAATATGTCAATTAATTTAAGTCAGCTGTAAATACTTAAATTTGACAGTTCGAAGAGCAGAGGTTAAGAGGTACAGGTTATGCTCCCAAGAGATTCTTTATACAAGCAAACATTTAAAAATAAAGTAATAGAATTTTGCGTCACAAAAGATAAACAATCTGATTGCAGATATAAAGGGGTTTGTTAATAATGTCATTTGTTATTTATTTAGTATTCAACAAAGTAAACAATAAATTAAATAGATTGATACCAGCTGTTACCCTAGGGCTTCACCCCGTTTGACTTCATAAGTATTAATAACATTATTGATTGGTTAGGTTGGTCTGAAATAAACAAAACAGAATACAGTAACACCAAACAAATAAGAACAGCTGAGGTATTTTAACATTAGGTATATGGAAAGTTCCCTTTAGAAAGGAATTACGACCTTAAAGGGAAATTTATGAAATAATGGATAGTTTTGCGCAAGGTTTCTCGTCATGACGAACATTTTAAGTATATGGTTTATGGGGGTGTGACTTATAGTTTTCTCAAAAGTTCATGGGTACTTTTGGCTTTATATATAGATATTTATACAGGGTGGCGCAGAGAAACGGGAAATTTTGAAGTCGTTGTTGGTACACCTGTATGTCTTGTAGGTATAAGAAACTAAAGCCATGACGCCAAGCAGTAATGGACATTTAGTTGATTTGGAACAGTGGAGTGGTGCGGAGCGTGCAGTCGCCGTGAGAGCGTACTACAAAAATGGTGACAGTGCAACAGCTGCAAATGTTTGGATGTCTATCATTTTCATTTAAATGGACATGCCAATAAGAAGAACATGCTTTACTGCGCTCAACAAAATCCCACTGAACTTCATCAACGTCCGTTACACAGTCCCAAAGTTACTGTATGGTATGCCATGTCATGTCTTGGTGTGATTGGACCTTACTTTTTTGAGGATGAAGATGGTTCCACTGTAACTGTCACAACGTTACATTCATATGCTGGAGTCATTTTTTTTCTCCACGGCTTCATGCTTTTCCAGATATTGAAATTCAGCAAATCTGGTTTCAACAACACCACACACAAAACCCTAACACACTGCTAATCTGTCAATGGCTGCATGGGGACGTTTGTTTGGGGGAGCGCATCATTTCAAGGAACGCTAACGTCCATTGGCCTCATAGTCTCCAGACCTCTCAGTGCGCGACCTCTTTTTATGTGGACATCTAATGAGCGTTGTGTACCTGACTAGGCCAAGAAATCTAATGGAGCTCAAGACTCAGATTGAAGAACACGTTTCCAACATCCCAGAGGACACATTGCGTCTAACAATGCTAAGTCTTCAAAATCGATTGAACGAATAGGCCCAAAAGACAGCCCTTAACTGATGTGATTTTTAAAATGTGATTTTTAACTTTTATTCCTATTTTAAACATTTCTTATGTATTTTCCACACTTGACCAATACATTTTCAGCATTAAAGATTTTTTTGTAAAACTTTCTTGGCATATTATGATTGTTTCAAAATTTCCCGTTTCTCTGCGCCACCCTGTAGTTAGTAGGTAGGCCACACATTCAATCTAATACATAATTATATGAAAAGAAACTCAAATAAACCTTAGATTTCCCACATGCCTTTGTCTTAATCTGATACGGATGCTTGAAATAGATTTAACATCCATAGTTTTGCGCAAGGTTTCTCGTCATGACGAACATTTTAAGTATATGGTTTATGGGGGTGTGACTTATAGTTTTCTCAAAAGTTCATGGGTACTTTTGGCTTTATATATAGACTAGCTGTACCCGCGGGCTTTGCCCCGTTTTACTTCAT